TTCGGGCCCAGGTGTTATATACTACTTTTGATAAAAAAGTATTATCCAAAAATTACATTTTGAAATAATTTTTTAAAATTTAAAATTAAATTGTAATATTTTTTTTTTTAAAATTAAATCATGTAATAATTCATAATTTTAAAAATTAAAATAAATAAAAACTTACTTGTGTAGAAAAAAAAAAAAAAATAGTTTCAGTAAGTTATAAATTTTCCTTCAGCCCCCACTCTCCTTCTTGCTCTTCTAGCCAAACCCTAAAACATCTCCGACGCCATAACCAGAAGCTTTACAAGAATCAGAGAATGGTCCTACAGTTCCATGAACAGATAATCGCTGATCTCCTAGACGATTCTAATGGCGGCCTTGTCGTTCTCTCCTCCGGCCTCGCCCTCGCGAAACTCGTCTCATCCATTCTCCTCCTCCACTCTCCCTCCCAAGGTACTCTCCTTCTCCTTCTCGCTTCCTCCTCTCACTCTCTGAAATCACGAATTCTCCTCCACCTCTCATCCTCTCTCCCCTCTGAGATCACCGCCGACCTTCCCTCTCACCATCGCCACTCGCTCTATTCCTCCGGAAAGATATTTTTTATTACACCTCGCATCCTTATTGTCGACCTTCTCACTCAAAAGCTTCCGGCGTCTTCCCTCGCCGGCATCCTCATACTCAACGTTCACGCCATCTCCGAGACCTCCACCGAAGCTTTCATTATTCGCTTCGTCAAGTCCGTCAATCGTACCGCCTATGTCCGTGCCTTCTCAGATAAGCCCCATGCCATGGTATCGGGATTTGCCAAGGCTGAGCGCATTATGAGATGCCTTTTTCTCAGGAGGCTGCACCTCTGGCCTAGGTTTCAGCTCAACGTGTCCGAGGAGCTCGAGCGAGAACCGCCTCTCGTGGTGGATATTCGGGTCCCAATGAGTAAGTACATGGTGGGAATCCAGAAGGCTATCGTCGAAGTTATGGATGCTTGCTTGAAGGAGATGAGAAAGACTAATAAAGTTGACGTGGAGGACCTGACGGTAGAGAATGGCTTGTTCAAGTCTTTTGATGAGATTTTGAGGAAGCAATTGGATCCCATTTGGCATATTCTGGGAAAGAAGACCAAGCAGCTCGTTTCCGACTTGAAGACTCTGAGGAAGTTGTTGGATTATCTTGTTAGGTACAGTGACTAGTTACCATTTCTCTAGTTTTTTTCCCCGAGAGTTAAGAGTAACTTCCTCTGTTAAAGTCGATTGAGCTTTTTTTTTTAATTGAATTTTAAAAAACAGTTGCTAATTTAACTTGGGGAATTTAGTTGCTTTTATGTGCTAGATACTTGTGGATATGATTGGTTTATGATTAAGGTTAGAACGTAGGGTGTGTAGCAGATGGTCAGGATTGGAGAGGAACTTACTGAAAATAAAATATGAACCTAATCCACAGTTCCATATAGTTTTCTTCATAAGCAGTCCGTTTACAATGATAAAGCACCCATATATTGATGGGGTATTTGCTTAGCCTATTATTGTTAAATTTCTTAAGTAGGGTAGCAATAGACATAATAAGACATCTAACTAAACAAAAATTAAAACTTTAAGAAAGTATACAAGATCTTCTAATATAAAATAATGATAATAATTATGGTGCTAGGCTTTCCTATGTTAGTGAAAAGTGTGTTAGATGGTCATACGTCATTCTCCCCCTCTTCAAAAGTATTCAACTCGCACGAGGAATCTTGGATGTTATTAAACAGATAGGTTTAGATTTATTATAAGAAATCTCTCTTTAATTGTCTATAGAGTGCTTTCGGACGAGCCCAGTTGGTCGAGAATCGACCGGTTTTTTATTTCTAACGGTTTACTTTTGCAGCTTGCAGGGTTAAGCCAAAAGGTTTTAAAAAGACCTATTTCTGACCACTTTCCTATTTGCATTATCCCGGATGGTATCATTTGGGGTCCGGGGCTGTTCAGGTTGGATAACAAATGGTTGAATTTGGCGGGTTTCAGGAAGTTGGTGGAGGATGTGTGGAGACAGAAGAATGAAAGTGGTACGGCCAGTTTTGTGTTTGCTTCCAAATTGAAGAGGTTGAAGTTGGAGATTAAAAAATGGGCTAAGGAGGAAGAGGCAGATCTGACAGAATCCTCAAAGCCAATTTTGAGGAGTTGGGGGAGTTGACCATTTGGAGATGGACAGGCTGTTAGGGGAAGGGGGAAAGGGGAGGAGAGGGGAATTAAAACTGGAAATTGCTGCCATGATGAATATGGAGGCAATTTCTTGGAGGCAAAAGGCTGGAGAGAGGTGGATTAAGGAGGGTGATAGAAATACAAAATATTTTCATAGTTTGGCAAATTTTAGGAGGAAGAACAACTATGTTGAGAAGCTGGAGTTTGGAGAGGTTACAGTTAGGGGTAATGCTGCCTTGAGGGAGAAAGTTAAGGATTATTTCACCAAGCTTTGTACTGAAGAGGAGGAGAGGAGACCGAGACTGGATAATATTCCCTTTAGACAACTATCGGATGGCAGCAGGAGGAGCCTGGAAGTGCCATTTTCGGAGGAGGAAATTCTGGACTGTTTAAGGCAATGCAATGGAGACAAAGCCCCAGGACTGGATAGATTC